ACACACACACACACACACACACACACAAACTGACAAAAAATATGTCCATAGAAATTAATTAACTGAAGTTACAGATACGCAAAGTATGAAAAATGTTGCTTGAGAATCAGAGTTTGACTTAAGGATATTTACTTTTAATGTTTTGTCATGTGATGTGGACAATTTGTGTTAATGGTTATAAAGCATCAGTATTTACTGTCATAAATAATTCTGACCCCCTCTCCATTGTCTAATCTCTGCATAATTTTGGACAACTGTGAACATTTAAATTGATTTTTAAAAAAAAAAAAGCTTAACCCAGAATTTAGCATCACTTTTTTCCACTATGAAAAACTTGTTTTTAACCAGGGATTTTGCAAGAGGTTTCTCCTGTTTATGGTCATGATCTCAGTCACTAAATAGCTATATGTTGAGCTCTAACTTAAAATCTAACTCAGTTTTCAAATAGGATTTCACCTTTTCCACAGAAAGCAGTTTTTATTGGGTTGAAATATGGTTTTAAATTAGTCTTCTTCCTCTCCCACTGAACCTTCTAAAGGATAAATGATGCAGGTGCCCTATTGTCAGTTCAAAATTTCAGGATTATCCTGAGGTTTACTTCTTATGTTAGAGTATTCTTATACTAGAACAGGGGTGGGCAAATGATGGCCCGGGGGCCGTATCTGGCCCTTCAGATGTTTTAATCCAGCTCTCTAGCTCCCCTCTCCAGCCAGGGAACGGGGTCTGGGGCTTGCCCCACTCTGCTCGTGCCGTGGCTTCACACAGCTCCCGGAAGCAGTGGCATGTCCCCGCTCCAGCTCCTATGCGTAGGGGCAGCCAGGGGGCTCCGTGCACTGCCCCTGCCCCAAGCACCACCCTCTCAGCTCCCATTGGCTGGGAGGAGCCGGAGGGGTGACATGCCGCTGCTGCAGGGAGCTGCTTGAGGTAAGCGCCACCCGGAGCCTGCACCCCGACCCCCTTCTGTGCCCCAATCCCCTGCCCAGCCCTGATCCCCTTCCCGTCCTCCTAGCCCCTTGGTCCCAGCCTGGAGCACACTCCTGCACTCCCAGAACCTGCACCCCCAGCCAGAGCCCTCACCTTCCCCCCCCGCACCTCAACCCCCTGTCCCAGCCCAGAGCCCCCTCCCGCACCCTGAACTCCTCATTTCTGGCCCCACCCCAGAGTCCGCACCCCCTCCCATACCCCAACCCCAATTTCAAGAGCATTCATGGCCCACCATACAATTTCCATACCCAGATGTGGCACTCGGGCCAAAAAGTTTGCCCACCCCTGTACTAGAAGTTGGTCCAATAAAACGGGGTCTCAACCTTGTTCTTTCTGAGGCCCCCCAAACATGCTATAAAAACTTCATGGCCCACCTGTGCCACAATAACTGGTTTTCTACATATAAGAGCCCAGGTTGGTGTTAATGCAATGCCCAGGGCCCCATGCCACAGGGGGCACCATGAAGCTAGGTTGCTCAGGCTTCTGCTTCACCCCCAGGTGCAGGGCTCAGGGGCCCAGGCTTCAGCCCCATGCGGTGGGAGTTCGGCTTTCTGCCCTGGGCCCCAGGAAGTCTAACACTGGTCCTGCTTGGTGGATCCCATGAAACCTGCTCGCGGCCACCCAGGGGTCCCCAGACCCCTGGTTGAGAACCACTGCAATAAAAGATATTACCTCAGCCACCTTGTCTCTTCTCGTATTAATACAGAGAAGAAGATACTTTGACTCCGGAGATGAAAAAATGCAAACATTCTTAGCAGAAACTAGGGAGAATTCTGATCCCCGAAGCTGGAGTTTCTCTGCCACAAATTGACTCCCGTCAGTGCAAGGATCTGGTTGCCCTGTTTTCTTAAGAGAGCCTGATATGCTAGGATTGTGGGAAACTTGCACACTAAGTTAAAGAATGACCCTTAACATTTATGTATTTATGTATTTAACCAACCATATCTAGACACTGTTCTCCATCCCTATCTTAATTTCTCATAAAAACTCAACAGCAATGGAGAATTGTGTACACTGTTCATCAAGTACATTAAGATATTCTTTTCAGAGCGGTAACCGTGTTAGTCTGTATCAGCAAAAAGAACGAGGAGTACTTGTGGCACATTAGAGACTAACAAATTTAGTGGAGTGGAGCGGGGACTGGAAGAGGCGGGCCTGGAGCATCCCCTGGCAAAGTCGGCGCCTGTTCTTCTGGGGGGAAGCTGCCGCTGCTGCTGTGCAAGGTGGTTCCTAGTGTCCTTGCCTGCAGCGGGCTGTGCCGGTGTGGGATAAGCCAGGGGCACTTCTCAACCACAGTACAGTACAGTACTGTACAGTATATAATGCTTTTGTCTGCCCCCCAAAAATTTCCTTGGAACCTAACCCCCCACATTTACATTAAATGGTATGGGAAAATTGGATTAGTTTAACATCATTTCACTTAAAGTTGCATTTTTCAGGAACAGAACTACAACGTTAAGTGAGGAGTTACTGTGGCTTGCAAGCAGAGGTGTGAGGCAGCTACCTGTCTGGATGAAAGTACAGGGCAGATGGGGCCGTGAAGAACACTGTACGGGAAGCTGTAGCTAGTATGATTTGAAAGCCAGTGCTGCTTTTATCTCAGGGAGAGATGGGCTGGAGAGAATGTCTGAGGAGCACACTAAGGCTTTTGCTTTACAGGACTGCCCACAAGGGCTTTGGGAGAAATGAGGCTGCAATTAGATGATAGTGGTGTGAGCCTTTGTACCTTTCCATTCTGCTAGCCCTGTTAAATTCTACTACTTTCAGTAACTGCAAGTGCTGCATGGGACTCTGCCAAAGCTAGAGTCAGATCAGTGTTTAGAGTAGCTACAGTGTGGCTTCTTGGCTTTGTGGCAAACAGAGCACACTATACCAAGAGTGGCTAGTGCACGCAACCACTGAGTGAATCCCTGGAGTGGGGTCAGGTACAGTGCAGTGACTCGTTGTTGTTAAAACTACTCCAGCTCTTTAGAAAATCCCAGCCTAAGGGAGTTAAACACCCACCTCCTATTGAAGCGCAATGTGGTTAAGGTGCATTGAAAATCCCACTCTTTTCTCTTCCCCCCCCGCACATCTCCCCCAAAAAACTTAGTTAAAAGTAGCATCACTGGGGGGAAGCAAAATTCATCCGTATTAGTAAATCTTTACTCATTTTATATACTCACTCATATATATACTCATTTTAGATTTTAATAGGAAAACTAGTTTGTACAGTTTTGAGTGCTGATAAACCAGTGATTCTCAAGTATCAGAGGGGTAGCCGTGTTAGTCTGAATCTGTAAAAAGCAACAGAGGGTCCTGTGGCACCTTTAAGACTAACAGAAGTATTGGGAGCATAAGCTTTCGTGGGTAAGAACCTCACTTCTTCAGATGCAAATCCAGTGATTCTCAAACTTTTGTACTGGTGATCCCTTTCACCTAGCAAGCCTCTGAGTGCGACCTCACCCCTTATAAATTAAAAACACTTTTTAATATATTTAACACCATTATAAATGCTGGAGGCAAAGTAGGGTTTAGGGTGGAAGCTGACAGCTTGCAACCTCCCATGTAATAACCTGGTGACCCCCTGAGGGGTCCCGGCCCCCAGTTTGAGAACCCCTGTGACAAACAAATGCCCAGGTGAACAAGTTGCATTCTCTTCAAACAGAGTTTTGTGCAGCTACTAAAGTGCCTGAACATGAATTTCTGTTTTCTTTTCTTTGCAGGGACTTAGACAGAAATAATATCTCAAGAATCACCAAGATGGACTTTGCTGGGCTGAAGAATCTCCGTGTCTTGTGAGTATAAAACTAGCTTGGCCTTCAAAATGCTGCATTGGACCATTAGCCTCCAAAAATAAGCTGGAAAGATGTGTGCTGCTGATGCTCTATGTACTGTAGAATTGTTTACATCTTCTAGTCGTGAAATAGCATCCACATCAGAGACCCTGTGCAGTTTCCATAACTAAAGCATTGATTATAGTTTTATGCCGTGCCTTAGTGCAAGAGATAAACTCCAAATAATTTAAAATCAGTGTTATATCATTGGTGTTTTTCTGCTTGGCTTTTAATCAACATTGTGATTAAAACTTTTTTATTTTTGCGCTATAGAATGAATTGTACTTCAGTTAAACCAATTTATCACTATAAAACCACTGTTAAATGGCTCTTTCCATTTTGGGATGGTTTAGGGTGTATTCCCATACAGAACACATGGCAGCTGCCAAGTAACTTTGAGTTGACTGAGGCCTGGTCTACACTACGACTTTAATTCGGATTTAGCTGCGTTAATCCGAATTAATCCTTAACCCGTCCACACAACGGAGCCAGTTACTTCGAATTAAAGGGCGCTTAAAATCGATTTCTGTACTCCACCCCGACGAGCGGAGTAGCGCCAAAATCGATTTTGTAAATTCGAATTAGGGGTAGTGTGGCCGCAATTCGATGTTATTGGCCTCCGGGAGCTATCCCACAGTGCACCACTGACCGCTCTGGACAGCAATCTGACCTCGGATGCACTGGCCAGGTAGACAGGAAAAGCCCCGCGATCATTTGAATTTCATTTCCTGTTTGCCCAGCGTGGAGAGCACAGGTGACCACAGATAGCTCATCAGCACAGGTAACCATGCAGGCTGATAATCGAAAAAGAGCACCAGCATGGACCGTTCGGGAGGTACTGGATCTGATTGCTATATGGGGAGAGGATTCAGTGCTAGCAGAACTTCGTTCAAAGAGACGAAATGCCAAAACTTTTGAAAAAATCTCCAAGGGCATGATGGAGAGAGGCCACAATAGGGACTCAGGTCAGTGCCGCGTGAAAGTGAAGGAGCTCAGACAAGCCTATCAAAAAACAAAGGAGGCAAACGGTCGCTCCGGGTCAGAGCCGCGGACATGCCGCTTCTACGCCGAGCTAAATGAAATTCTAGGGGGGGCTGCCACGACTACCCCACCTCTGACCGTTGATTCCGAGGCAGGGATAATCTCAGCAACACCTGAGGATTCTGCGGACGAGGAGGAGGACGAGCTTGCGGAGAGCACCCAGCACTCCGTTCTCCCCCACAGCCAGGAGCTTTTTCTCAGCCTGAGTGAAGTACCCTCCGAACCCTCCCAAGCCAGTATCCAAGACCACGACCCCATGGAAGGGACCTCAGGTGAGTTTACCTTTTAAAATATAAAACTTGTTTTAAAAGCAAGGTTTTTTAATGATTATTTTGCCCTGAGGACTTGGGATGCATTCGCAGCCAGTACAGCTACTGGAAAAGTCTGTTAATGTGTCTGGGGATGGAGCGGAAATCCTCCAGGGACATCTCCATGAAGCTCTCCTGGAGGTACTCCAAAAGCCTTGCCACAAGGTTTCTGGGCAGTGCAGCCTTATTCCGTCCTCCATGGTAGGACACTTGACCACGCCATGCTTGCAGCAAGTAATCTGGTATCATTGCCTGACAAAGCCTGACAGCGTATGGTCCCGGTGTTTGCTGGCATTCAAGCAACATCCGTTCTTTATCTTGCTGTGTAATCCTCAGGAGAGTGATATCGCTCATGGTAACCTGGTTGAAATACGGGAATTTAATTAAGGGGACAGAGGTGGCCGTTCCTACTGGGCTGTTTGCCTGTGGCTGAAAAGAAATCCTTCCCTGCAGTTAGGCGACTGCGGGGGGGGGGGGGGGGGGGGGGGGGGTTGGCCCAGGGCCTTTCCCCTTGGGTCCGCAGGGATCTTCCCTGTTACCAGCCACGCGGTCGGGGGAGGGGTACATTGATCATCCCAGGGAATTCATGGTGGGAGGGGGGGGAGAGGGGGGGTTAGTTTGGTTTCTGCAGGGATTTTCCCTGATACCTGCCACGCGGTGGGGGGAGGGATACAGCGATCATCCCAGAGAATTGGATGGTGGGGGGGTTAGTTTGTTTTCTGCTGCTGAAGGTTAACAGGAAAACCGCAGCAGTCAACAGGCTTTGCTTGCTATGTGGGAAAGGAGGGCGCAGAAGCCGAAAGACAATGGCTTACCATGGCTGCCTGCAAGCTGAATTGTGTTGCCCGGACCTGCGTCTGTGATCTCTAACACCAAAGCCACAGGCACTCAATATTAAGAGGCAAAATCACATGTGCTATGTAATGTGAATAGTGTTGGTCACCGTAAAAGAGTATAAGCATTGTTCTGCAAAATGTATCTTTTTAAAAAATTCTCTCATTTTTTCCCTCCCTCATGCAGCTGCAAATTCTTCAAGCCTCCCTCCTCCATCCCGAAGGCTAGCACAGATAAGGCGTCGGAAGAAGAAGACGCGAGACGAGATGTTTGCAGAAATCATGCAATCCACCCGCAGTGACAGAGCTAATCTGAATGAGTGGAAGGACACGGTTTCAAAGTATAGGAAAGAAGCCAGTGACCGTGAGGACAGGAGGGACCAACGTGAGGACAGGAGGGACCAACGTGAGGACAGGAGAGACGCTCGAGATGAGAGGTGGCGGCAGGAAGATCAGAGGAGTCGGGAAGCAACGCTGGGGCTACTGCGAGAGCAAACAGACATGCTCCGGCGTCTGGTGGAGCTTCAGGAACGGCAGCTGGAGTACAGAGTGCCGCTACAGCCCCTGTATAACCCCCCTCCCCCCTCACCATGTTCCATAGCCTCCTCACCCAGACGTGTAAGAACGCGGGGGGGGAGGCTCCGTACACCTTCCCATTCCACCCCAGTAGACAGCCCAAGCAAAAGGCTGTCATTTTTTTAACCTTTTTTTAGTGGCCTTTTCCTTCCCTCCTCCCAAACCCCACCCAGGTTCCCTCCCTCTTTTTATAATCTATGAATAAAGAATAAATGATTTTTAAACGATAGTGACTTTATTTGGTTTGAAAGCAAGCTGGGGGAAGGGGGAGGGTGGGTTACTTACAGAGAATGAGTCAATAAAGGGGGCGGGTTTTCATGAAGGAGAAACAAACAGAAATTTCACACTGTAGCTTGGCCAGTCATGAAACTGGTTTTTAAAGCTTCTCTGATGCACACTGCTTCCTGGTGTGCTTTTCTAATCTCCCTGGTGTCTGGCTGCGCGTAATCAGCAGCCAGGCGATTTGCCTCAGCCTCCCACCCTGCCATAAAGGTCTCCCCCTTACTCTCACAGAGATTGTGGAGCACACAGCAAGCAGAAATAACAATGGGGAGATTCCTTTGGCTAAGGTCAGAGCGAGTCAGTAGCGATCTCCATCGACCTTTTAAACGGCCAAATGCACATTCTACCACCATTCTACACTTGCTCAGCCTGTAGTTAAACAGCTCCTGACTCCTGTCCAGGCTGCCTGTGTATGGCTTCATGAGCCATGGCATTAAGGGGTAGGCTGGGTCCCCAAGAATAACTATTGGCATTTCAACATCCCCAACGGTTATTTTCTGGTCCGGGAAGTAAGTCCCTTGCTGCAGCCCTTTAAACAGAATAGTGTTCCTGAAGACGCGAGCATCATGAACCCTTCCCGGCCAGCCCGCGTTGATGTTGGTGAAACGTCCCTTGTGATCCACCAGTGCTTGCAGCACCATTGAAAAGTACCCCTTGAGGTTTACGTACTGGCTGCCCTGGTGCTCCGGTGCCAAGATAGGGATATGGGTTCCATCTATCGCCCCACCACAGTTAGGGAATCCCATTGCAGCAAAGCCATCCACTATGACCTGCACATTTCCCAGAGTCACTACCTTTCGTAGCAGCACCTCAATGATTGCTTTGGCTACTTGCATCACAGCAGCCCCCACAGTAGATTTGCCCACTCCAAATTGATTCCCGACTGACCGGTAGCTGTCTGGCGTTGCAAGCTTCCACAGGGCTATCGCCACTCGCTTCTCAACTGTGAGGGCTGCTCTCATCTTGGTATTCTGGCGTTTCAGGGCAGGGGACAGCAAGTCACAAAGTTCCATGAAAGTGCCCTTACGCATGCGAAAGTTCCGCAGCCACTGGGAATCGTCCCAGACCTGCAACACTATGCGGTCCCACCAGTCTGTGCTTGTTTCACGGGCCCAGAATCGGCGTTCCATGGCTAGAATCTGCCCCATTAACAACATGATCTCCAAAGCACCGGGACCCGTGGTTTGAGAGAATTCTGTGTCCGTGTCCATGTCCATGTCCTCATCACGCTGGTCGCTGCGCTCCCGCCGCCGCTGCCTCCTCGCCTCGTTTTTCTGGTCCAGGCTCAGCATAAACTCCACGAGAACGCGCGAGGTGTTTACAATGTTCATGACTGCTGTCTGGAGCTGAGCGGGCTCCATGCTTGCTGTGGTATGGAGTCTGCAGTGTTCACCCAGGAAAAAAGGCGCGAAATGGTTGTCTGCCGTCCGTTGCTTTCATGCAGGGAGGGAGGGAGGGAGGGAGGGAGGGGTGAGGCTGTACCCAGAACCACCAGCGACAATGTTTTGGTCCCATCAGGCACTGGGATCTCAACCCAGAATTCCAATGGGCAGGGGAGACTGCGGGAACTATGGGATAGCTATGGGATAGCTACCCACAGTGCAACGCTCCAGAAATCGACGGTAGCCCCGGTACATGGACGCACACCACCGAATTAATGTGGTTAAAAACCGAATTAATGAGCTTAGTGTGGCCGCGCACAATCGAATTTATACAATCTGTTTCCCAAATTCGAATTATCTAAATTCGAATTAATCTCGTAGTGTAGACGTACCCTAAGGAACAGTTGACAGTTGTAAGGGTCACACCTAAAGGAAACAGTCCATACCTCCTGGCTGAATGTAAATGATTAAAAACAATAGTCACTGCTGTCCCTCGTAGCAGCTGTGGGTCCAATCATACTCCTGAAAAGAAATGATCAATCGAAGGGGTAGAAATTATTTTCCATAGTTCCATATTAAGACTGAACTGTTACAGAAGGCCAGTGTTCTATTTTGCCTGATGTGAAACTTTTAAATTATCAACATTAACTTAATTTGCTTTCATTTTAAGATTGCCAGAAAAGAGATATAGTGTAATTATTCACAAATATTTATTTCTAGAGAAGAAATAAATTGGGCAGCAAGGTCTAAAAGTACAAATGTTGGTGATTTGAGTTTTCAGAACCAGCATGTCACTGCTGCTGACGTAGTTGGATTACTGGGATATATATATATAGTTTGGATGAGATGGAAGTGCGCATAACTGGAGAGAACTTAGTAGAGGAATCACACATCATTGAAGTATAATTGGATGAGAGTGGGAAAAGTGCCCCTGCCATTCAACTTTGGACTTTGAAAATGTATAGTAAATTGTCAGTTTGTTAGATCTATGGCTCTTGCTTCTGGCTGGGACCAAAGAGAAATGATGAAATCCTGAACCTGAAGTCCTTCCTGCCACGTTCCCCACTCCTCCACCCCCAAATATTTCCAAACTTTTCAGGACAGCTGGGAAGAACTTAAAATTTAAGGGACATTATTTTTTTCCAAGAGCTAAATCCAGATAATCTGGATAAACTTCAGATTAATAAAACTTTTGGGCTCAGATAATGAAGTTATTGTCCAGATCAGAGCTTTGCCGAAACGGAGGTGTGAATCCAGTATTTGCATGTATAGTCACTAATGCAAATGCCAATAATTTGTGGTCCATGTCTTAGTAAAACATAAATAATGGAGGGGAGGTATATAAGCCACAAAGAGATGCAGAAGTTAGTGAAAGTGGTTCAGTGAAGTTTGAAGACAACTTGTAAGGGCCTTTCCCAATGACTATTGATTAAATAGTAAGATTACCATTGATTTTATGCTATGTTTACACTGCTCTTTTGTCATTAAAACTTTTGTTGGTTGGGGTGTGAAACAAATACCCTCCTGACCAACAAAGGTTTTAAAGACACAAAGCGCTGGTATGGACAGTGCTTTGTCGGTGGGAGATGCGGCTACAATGGCATACCTTATAGCGGCACAGCAGTGTAGACATAGCCTTAGTCTCGGTTAGGTTTAGATGGGGCGCTATATGAATCACAGATCATAGTGGCACTGTGGCACTGCAAAGTTGCAACTGGAGTTGAGCAATATTAATAACCATACCAGTCTTATTAGAGAGTTCATATTTGGTTTTCTTTAACTAGCTTGCTGATTTTTTTTTTCTTGGAAAATCTGTAATATTACAGAAATGCCTGTGTAACATATACACAAAAAGGTAACAATGTATTATGTATAGAAAAATTCAATATCCAGCTCCTGTTGGCTGGGTGTTGTATAATTCCCTGTGTCCCAAACTAACGGGAGAACAGCAATTCCATATTGTGTCCCATTTAGCTCACGAGAAGCCTGTAAGCTAGTTTATTGCCCTCAAGCTAAAGCCCTATAAAGTGACCAGTAACAAAAACCACTTGTGCTTAGCATTGCACAAAAGAGGGGGTCAGAGGTGTTTTTTCCACTCTCTCTTTCCCCAAATAAGCACCTGTGAGAAGTGTAGGTATAGGTAAGTTAAAGTGTGGGAAAATCTTCCTATTTCACACACTTGCCCTCTGTAGCTAACACACTGCTTTTACACCACCTTTTGTACAATTTATCTTAGTCCTTAAAGTCCTACAAGATGCCCAGGAGATAAATAGTGCATGAACTTCCTAACACTGTGAATTAATGGGCAGATGCTTAATATGGTTGTGATGAAAATACAAATATCTTCCACTGTTCCTTCAAAACATATGGCATAAACGCTTATAACTATTCTCCAACTAAATAAAAAAAAATCTCAAATTTATTAGAAGACTTACTTCCCTGCTTGTTGACTTCGCCTGCAGGATGAGACTACTACAGCAAGACTTTTCTGCTGCTTGGAGCCACATAAAGTTTGTTGGCTTATATCCCAGCTCTCACTATTTCTATGGGGGTCCTTATTAAAATAACATTTATTGACATGGTAGTCTGACTGTTGGTAAATGTTTATTTTACTGACTGCTATGCTTTGTGTACTGTACAAAATATTGGCCAAATTGTACCATGTGAGTTATTCATGTTAAATACAGTTAAAATCTGGCATAATCTATGTTACGTACATACGTGTGTGTGTGTGTGTGTGTGTGTGTGTGCACGTAGTTGGATTCAAACTACTTGGAGTGGAGACACCCTCCGCCGCGCCCTCCCCCCACCCAGCGACACTTTGGAGAGGCAGGAATTCACCCACCATGCACTTCAACACCTTTCTCAGTGACTATCAATCACACTGATCAGCAAACACAGTCCAGATGCCCCTAGCATCCAGTCCATCAGTCACCGATCAAGGTGCTGCCTTTCCTGTGGGCTCTGGCTGATGATCACATGTGGTGCAAACTCATAATGACCACAGAGACCAACTGCTCCATGGGCCTGCCCTGCAGTCCTGAGCTCAGATTGTTGGCATGCGGTGGCCCTGCAACAGCCACTTGTGCCCTGTCTGCCCACGCAGTCCCTTCTCCAATGGCAATCCCATCCTCCAATTGGGAAGGAGCTGGTGGCAGGCAATGGCACTGGAACATTTTTTATAATGGGGGTGCTGAGAGCCATTGAACCAAACTGTAAACCCTGTGTATGAAGAAAACCACTTCAAGCCAGGGGGTGCGGCAGGAAATATAGGCAGGATTCCCTGCCAGCCCTCTAGCCAGTCAGCTCCGTGATGTGTGGAGAAGCCCTCTTCTCTTGTCTCCCCCATCCCCTAGCTAATCAGAGTGCCAGGGCCATGTGTCACAGCACTGCAGATCATATGTGGAGTGGGGGCTCCACTTACCCATCAATGAGTCTGCCCCCCTTCAGTACAACACTTCAGTGATAAATGGTTGGCCCCACAGGATTTCAGTGGGATTCCACATAATGGTAAATAAAGTCTATTCCAGGCATTTCTACTTGCCTCCAATCTCTTCAGCTGATTCATCCCCGCCTATGCCCTGTCTCATGGGAGGAAATGAGAGACAGGGATGTGAAAAAGGGACAGATTGCCTGAGCACTTCCCTTGGTAGCTTTTCCTATTTCCTGTGATGCAGATTGACTGTCTTCAGTGGTCACAAACAGCTGGCACTCCTGCACCCTTGGAGAAGTCTCACTGAATAGGAACCGCTCAGTAACTTCTGGAGGAGTCTGAAATCCCATGCAGATGCTTATGTGCATGCGCTTTATCACTTAATGCTTTGTCTGGTTTATTTGCCCTGCATTAATCTTCTGATGTTGACTATGGGCTTCCATCCTTACTGACACGGAATAAAATTAAAATGATTGGAAGTGCGAAGAGTAAAGTACTAAGGGGGCAGAATCAGGCCTATAATAAACTAATTGCAAGATTTTAATGGGTTTTGGCTATAAAAACTAAAAGCGAATAATGTGGTTACTAGCCCTGGTAATCAGGATGCAGTTTACATCCATGCAAAAACTACTAGTGCTATGTATTTTGGACTGTAAATTTTATCTTCTGATGGTGGTAGAAGTGACCATGAAAAAACCACTGCCATTCTGTAGAGGCGCTTTCATCAGTCTATCACTGTAATTGGTGTTGCTTGATTTAAAGTGCCGTTCACATTGTCATTTGGTATTTCTTTAATTATAGGCATTTGGAAGAAAATCACATCAGTATGATAGAGCGTGGAGCATTTCAGGATCTAAAGCAACTCGAACGGCTGTAAGTATGTTTATTGCATACATGTTGACTTAAAGAACTAAAGATTTTCTGCCTTATTTTATGCATCCTTTTTATTGTGTTTATATAATGACTTAAAGAAATAATGTGGCTAGAATGAACAAGACACTTGACATAAATTAAAGTTAAGAATAGTTTAAAACAGAGTTGAGTTTTAGATTAAAACCTTGTATCCATGATTTATTGTAATTCAAAATAATATTAACAATAATTTGTTAAGAAAACTGTATCCACCAATAAATATTTATATTATAGCTAACCACTGAGGCAAAGTTAGTCAGGTCTAAATTTTATCTCACTTTGTTTTCTGAAGTTCTCAGGATGACTTCTCTAATTAGATTAATGGTGATGGGTTGTCTTAATAGCCAGCACTATTGGGAATTGCCCTGCAATAGTATAAATGCCCTGCACTTCCATATGAGAGTAGAACTACTTGTGTCAGATTATCTATACAGCTACATTTGCTTTACACTCATTAATGGCACTGATATTGATGGAGTCCCAGAGGTGAAAAATTAGACTTTGAGTAGAAAATAAGGCCCTTGGTTTTCTGCTTTTGTTAGTGATTTAAATAAAATGGATTTAAAAGATTTAGATAATCTTAAATCCATCATTTACAAGGCCACTGGCCATTTATTATGGTATATAACAGGTCTGTGTAGAATTCTATGTATGACGGTAACCCCAATCTCATTGTTTTGGTTGAGTGGGTCTGCTGTTGTATAACAGTGCATAGAGTGGGAAAACACCTCTGTCTAAACTGGCATGGAGAGTAGTTGATTTTGTGTACAGACAATAGAAAAAAGAAGTCTGCTGTGTTAAAGCAACTGAGGCCTTGCCTTAATTATTGGCAAGTGAGTTGCTTATTTACACATTGACTTATCTTTGGACGACTCAGGATTCACTCTTATAAGAGAAATGTATATCTTGTCTTGGGTTACAAAACTGTGCTTGAAATTGAAATGATGTAGTTAAGATTCACACTGAGATTGTAATCTGCTCCTTAGAAAAAACAGATCTTGAAATATAAAACACTGTTGAGGATACAAAGGAGGTGATTTTGTATGTTGTGTTCAGGGAAACGTCTGGGAAGTAGCAGATAGTAACAAAGTTACTTACAAAATAATAAATGCATAACCTGACACTATATATGACTATGGTTTTAGCTAAAGTTTGTTCTTCTAGAAAGAAAATGTCAGCACTAAGTCTTGAAGTTTTACGTCCATTATATGTGCTTTAATGGAATAACTTCCTTCTCCCCTCTTTCCCCCACTATTTGTTTATTTCTTTAAATCAGTGGTTCCCAAACTTGTTCCGCCGCTTGTGCAGGGGAAGCCCCTGGCGGGCCGGGCCGGTTTGTTTACCTGCCGTGTCCGCCGGTTCGGCCAATCGTGGCTCCCAGTGGCCGCGGTTCACTGCTTCAGGCTAATGGGAGCTGCTGGAAGTGGCGGCCAGTACGTCCCTCGGCCCGCACCACGTCCAGCAGCTCCCATTGGCTTGGAGCAGCGAACAGCGGCCACTGGGAGCCGCGATCGGCTGAACCTGCGGACACGGCAGGTAAACAAACTGGCCCGCCAGGGGCTTTCCCTGCACAAGTGGCGGAACAAGTTTGGGAACCACTGCTTTAAATGATTCCTCATCTACCTAAAAGGAGTATTTGGGAAAAATCCTAGGAGGATACCTAAATGGATGAGCATAACCAGAAAGCTGATCTTTTCTTTGTTGTATGTTTTTGTTTGTGTGAAACCAGAAATAAAAGAATGGGGTTCTTCTACTAGTAACTGTTAAAGTATGTGATATCTGAATGCCTCCCTTAAATTTTCTCTCTGTAAACTCTTAAGTTGGCCTGCTACACACTGTATACTCTATATCATACATACGCCGTATCTCTCCTTGCTTTTAGGATTACCTGTCATTAAAATATTTCCTAAATGAATGTACTATGAATTAGAGATTGGGAAACTCGCAACTTTTTGGTACTTCACCTCAAGTCATTTTATAGGAGATGACTATAAATCTAATCTTTTGCTATGAATCCGTGTGCTTTGGAGAAGGAATTGTGGAAAGTCTGGCATAACTTGTAAGGGCTAAATTGCAGCATTTTAGGCAATATAAAAACTATTTTATTAACTATTGTCAAGCACCACAAAATGTTAATGCAGAAAATACGATGGCTGAATTAAAAAAAAGAAGCTGGCTTTTTTCCATTTAATTTATTTCAAATAACAAATAAAAATTTCACTTACACTGCTGCAGGCTTTGGAATACAGTTGGCTTTTGATCTCTTAAAGTGGATGCAAAAGTAATCGTTTGCTTTTTTAACAAAGCAGCTGCAGTGGGTCAGACTTTTAAAAACTTGAGTAATTTTGTTCCTGGCAAAATATTGTACATTACATTTTCTTATTCGAAATTACATTGGAAATATATTGCTTTTTTTACAGTAGTGATCATTCAAAGGGCATTAACCCTAAATGAATATTATTTTCTCTTAATGTAGTTGAACTTGTCTAGACATCAAAGCAAACCCCTCATTATTAACTAAAAATATGGACAGAGTTTTCTTTATGAAATTTATTGCCTGTGATGTCTTTCTCCCTCCTTTAAATGAGTCTAAAACTATAAAACTAAATGTCTGTATAGGTTCCAGTTATTGATGTCAAAAACATACTTGTTGACAACTTTCCAATTGTTTTACTTTTACCATTAGCATCTCTAAAAACTTATAACTTAGCTTTACTGATTGAATGGATGCTAGTTCTCGTAACACAAGCAGAGCATCCAAAGGGCAAATTTCTGTAAAAATTGTGGCAGATGAGGAAAGCGTGAGGCTGACTTAAGCACTGAATTCAAGTCACAACATGGGTAGCTGCAGTGCAGACTTGGTAATTAAAATGATATTGCAGACAGTAACTAGCTATTTCTGATCAAGCCATTTTTGACTTCATCTTTCCAAGCAGACTGGGTTTTGATAATATCCATTAGATATGGAAACCCACATGCGACAAGGAGTCTGCAAGCTGTCTTCTGCACTTCCTACGTTCTTTAAGGGTCTTGCTTTCTCTATCGCTGAGCATCTACAACTCCAATTCAATTAAGTTCAGTGTCAGCTACAGATCTTCAGCACATCAAAAAAGCAGGCTTTATTTAGTGGTTTTATACCACGGATTAGTTTTTACAACATTGCCACCTTCTATGCCTTTCTAAGCCAGAACTAAAAGGGTCAATTTCTGTGGTTGCTAAGCATCAAAAGAAAAAATGGTTTAAACAAAACATATGTAAAACTAATGTGTGCAGTTAGTCTGACTTACTTAAATGTTTGTTCTTCTGCAGCTGTAGGTCCAATCCTGCGACCTACTCTGCATAGGCCAACTCCACATTTGTGCAGTACCCAATGGAAGTTAAGAGTCTCCATGAGTGTTTAGGTGTCCACCTTCATGAAACAGCTTGCAGGTCTGAGGCCCTGAAACAGCATTAGTATAACTCTTCTATCAGGTTTGATTGCTACTGCTATTGCTGTCATACTCTTTATAGCACAGATGTACAGTACGATCTTCCAAAATGTGTGGTGAACTTATGTCAGCTAAAGGACTTCATGTGTCAGGCCTTATGAATAGTAGGAGTGCTCAGTAAGTAAGTAGTTATGAATATAGTTGAAAGAATTTGGAGTGCCCTCCAAGAATCTTCTAAATGATACCCCAGAGTTCAGCTCACTTGGCTGGCTGTACTATAACCATTTTAAGGTAACTGCTCTACCTTTTGGTATATGGAATATCTCAGAAGACAGCATCACTTGCTTAGTAATTTCCGGCTCCTTTATATTACAGCCTATCCCTTAATTCAATTTATGTTTCATTGTATAAAATGAAATTATGTAGTCAACTGTTATTCATGCTAGTTTTATGTAGGGCTAATTAAACATGACTAACATTGCTGATGGAAAGCTTGGAGAAGCAGAGATTTTTGCTTCAGTACTTTTTGTATGTTGCTAAGGAAAATTAAAAATGTGTTCTGAGAATGCAAGTATGAACTAAACATACACTAATGAGCATGGAATTGTTTAAAGAGAGTAATTCACAAGATAGAATCTTGGGTACAATTTGTAAGATACTGATTTCAATCAAGCCTTCTAAAATTGCCATGGCATGAACTCCAGCCCTTTCTTAACTAAAGAGATATTTGGAGATTATTGTGAAGTGCCATATAAATACTATGGATGCTTCAAGTTTTAGAAAGATGCTTCACAATTTCTAAAATGGAGAACAGGAAACGTTAATTTGTATACTTCTTTAAGCTAATTTGGTGTAATTAAGAGATCAAAAGTAAAATCCTCCACTGAGAAGTATCCTAGAGATTTGTGATCCTTCCTGTAGGTCAGATTAAGAACTCCCTCTTCTCCCATAACCTTATGATTAAACTGGTCCAGTCCCTGTAAGTGCGGGATGTAGTACCCAGACAGGATGAATCAGTGTCTAATGTGATGCACTATTTCTGACTTTGCCTTAACTGTTCTAGAACACATAACATTGGAATATATCCGAATAAAAATATAATTTTACAGTATAGCTGGATCTGATTTGTACTGTGAGCTTAATATGTATAGTACTGTGAAATATTGGCATAAAAAGGTTGTAATACAATTAAAAACAATATTTTATTGGCTTGTTTGTTTGGATCCTGACATTTCAGCTACACAATCATACTTAAATTTATAAGGTAACAAAATGAGCAGAAAGGCTGTTACACATTATACAAACAAAATGAGACACATGATCAAGAACGTAGGTGTACTACAGTAAATGGATAAACTCATGATACTGGGCATGATGGGGCCCAAAGTACAGATTGAAATCCCTCCCACAACCAGATGTCATACATCTCTGTAGAATAAAGAGGCAGGATACAAGACATTAAATAGTCTTGACTTTTACATAGCCGTCTGCCAAAAATTGTCACATAGCCCTACTATCTTCAAAAGGGTTGAC